GGTAACACTTTGTGAGATTACTGGTACCTGCAGGCGGGATTGCCTATATACATATGTTGCAGTATAATCATATAACGACTATGCTATTGGTCAGCAGCATATGCTCTTGACTACGGGTGTATTTCGTATAGTATACGATAGTATATATATATATACTAGTATAGAAAAGATATATAGAATATTCAAACGTAATAGTATATCTTATATATAATAATATAGCAGATGCTGTTGGATAGGAATTTTTACGCGACAGTTGATCCGTGTGCTGGACGTTACATGTATATGCAGATAAGGTCTATGCTCCGACTCTGCTTTAACCTGGCCGTATTTAGCTATTTCTGACTAAATATATGGATATATAGTATATATATATAAATGATTATAATAGTAGATATATATATATATAATATATATATATATAGAAATAGATCATATATATTATGGGTTAGAGGTTAGGGTTAGTCCGAATAGCTAGAATACCAGCGGCAAACAGAGGTCAGGGAACGATAGACCCTATACGGACGGTACATATAGCGATGACTGCTAACTGAAATCCTGATCTATTGATTACCGTAGTCACGAGCTAGTTGGGGATAGGGAGCGTTTCGTGTTGGCCTCACGTTGGCGACCTAAAATCCGATAACTTGTTCAGTAGCCGCACACGAGAGAACGGCGCACGCGGAGAAACAGCGCGGCTCTAGTCGATAGATCAGGGGGCGATTTTCAAGACGTATTTGCCGTATTGGAAAATACGGGTAGATGTCAAAGTGCCCTTCGAAATTTTGACGCTCACTGTGGGTGCGTGTGCTCTGTTTGGCGATGTGCCTGTTAAATCTGGCAAAAAATACTGTCTATCCTCAGCGCCTGCTTCCCAGAACGGGCTCTGATATAATACTATATATATAATAATATAGATATATATAATATATATAGATAAGATATATATCATATTATAATAATAGATAAATAGACAACATATATATACTATGACAGCTCGTTGCGGGGTTTTTACCAACATCTAGTTCTGAGAGCCTGCCACGATGTTGTTGGGTGGGGGTGGGCTGTGCTGGCGGCGTTGCGAGTGGTGTAGTGCGCGGGGCGATCGGTGCCAGAAGCATGGGTCACCGGCGATGAAACGTCGCCCTATATCTTGTACCCGGCCGCCCCACTCCGACGGTCGGCAGGGACCGCAATGCGCGTTCCCAAAATCTCCGGTAAAGGGGCGATTTTTCGCGCGACAAAATCCGGTCTAAGAATTGTAAAAACGGAGGGGGTATTGGGACTTTTCACCGGAGATTTCTTTAAAAGGGGGTTTTTTCTCCTCTCGTTCATCGAAGTAATCATAGAAAACTATCAAATCCCGGATCAATATCGCTGAAAGTCCTGCTAGGTTTGAAGCTCATTACAGGAATTGATGTAATTTTGAATGTAAAAATATTGCCGCCTTAGTTCCCCTTGCATCCACTGACGCTACACTACCGTAGTGTAGACTGCGTTCGACAGTTGCCACACGCACTACACTAACGTTCACTACGGTTGGAATGAGAGCCACCTGAGATAGGGCGGAACATTTGAGCAGTGTCCGGATTTAGGGAGGTCTCCAAGGGAGCGAAAAACCCGCACAAAAAACCGCGAAAAAAGGGTAGGGTTCAGATTTTAGCAGTCCTGAGATAGGGGGTGCTTGCAAAGGGACGCGGAACGAGCATATGCCGTACCCTAAAATAGGAACATGGAGTGAGGCCGGGATGCCGACATTTTTTTTTCAACCAACTATCCATGCCAGAATTGTGGACTGCTCTTAATGGCTGTTTATATGACGTAATCATTAATGACGTAAGGATCCAGTATGACCCTAACCCTAACCCTAAATCCGAACCCTAACCATAAACCCTAATCCTAACCCTCAACCCTACCCTAAACCCTAACCCTAACCAAGACAGAAAACAAAAAAGAATTAAAAAGCAACGCGGATTCGACAACCACCGACCGTTTCAGACATAAATCTGGTGTGCTATTCCATTACGCCAGGAAGACTCATGAGAAATAGCACATGACATCTGCTAATAAGCCAGCACATGTGTTTTCTGAACCATCAGGAGACAGGATGAACCAATCACAACAATCAGATGTTCGACTGCGAGATCGTTGGTTAGAAAAAAAATTCGCGGCCGGGAGCGGTACAGCCTCCGAGTAGAGTATAGTAAATATATACATCATGCACGGCTGCTGGCTAGGGAGAGATTTTACGATCGATTCGGGAATGATATAGTTTCCAGTGAGTGGGGACCAGCTATAGGAGAGAGGGACATAGTCTGAGAGCTAGAAGAATTTTCATGGGATTTGTCCTGCCTATATGTGACAGAGACGGCTCATTGTAGCACTGGGCCTCACGCTAACGGAGATGAATACCGAGGACTGAGCAACAAGCCCTGCGCGCTTTATAGTGAGTGAGACTCGATCTGAAACTTGAGCCATCCAAGGGACCTTGGTCATACAGCATCCACAGATGTGCCGTCATTAGATTTCGTGCGAAACAATAGCAAACTATATTCTTGTCAAATTGATACATGTAACAGATGTATACAGATGCGATGGTGGAGAACAATATACAGGACAAAGCCACTCAAGAGAATGCCAATGTTAATTGGCCCCAATGCCGGAAGGGTGACCGGTTCTATAGAAGTGGCGCTCGCGTTGACAGTAGCATGCAAAGTGTAGTCGATAGTATATGAACGCGCAATTATATAGACTGTCGGCTCTGTCGCCAGTTGAATATAGCACTCGGGCGTTAGATGCGATTGTATGACTACTAGCCACTTGGATTTAATTTAATGTTTTTAAAATAAAAAAAGGTAGGCGTTAGGTTAGTTAGGGTTAGGGTGTGGTGAGGGTAGGGTTAGTGTTTTTTCTTGTTTTTAAGTGCCTAGGAGTCATATCCTAGTGTAGTAGTCAACAATATCGCATCTAACTGCGGCGTGTTGAATATAGCTCCTTGTGGGTTATCAAATAAAATCTTGGTGTGAAAGTGGCGCACTCTATCCCCCTGTCGATGGCCCTTCTACCTGCTTCTATGTTCCTAGCGGTGGATATAGGCTTTCCGATGCCATCGAAGCGTTTCGCGTGACGTCAGTGTACGTACACGCCACGAACTCGGCTATCTCCGAAGGGTAAGTGGAATGATACAACCTAGTGCTGATGGGCTCCGTCACGCACATACCTGATGCAAAAACCTTACTAACCCTAACCTGAACCAACCCTACACCGAACCCAACCCTAAACCCTAACCTAACCCTAACCCTAACCCGAACTCTAACTCTAACCCTAACCCTAACCCTACCCGTACCCTAAATTAAATTTAATTAACACTAATACGAAACAGAACACTAACACAACAAGATTAAAAAGGATAAAAGATAGAAAAATAGAAAAATAAAAAATAATTAAAAACAGATGGGAGTCGAATGGAGGCGGATGGGTCTATGGTGGTGACGTCACACGGACGTACACTGACGTCACGCGAACCTTCGATGGCATGGAAACATATATCCACCGGTTTCCTAGAGTAGGAAATCGGCTTTTGCTTCGCGCGCCCGCCAATCCCCTGGCATTCTGCAACTACCATTTCGCGCTACGCCGCCAAAAACCTGCGCGCGCTGCCAGAGCAGGTACGCAGCGCTCGGTGAAGCGACGCTGAGGGTGTGGTGTCGAATGCGGGAGCCGAATTGGTCGGTGGAAACGGGGATTACCTGATGGGGGCTGTGTCAGCGTGGTACTATTCGGAAAAGAAATGCTAGTTTTCGGCGGCCCGCATCACTTATCGCCAGCTGTTTTCAATACGTGAGCAAGCAAACCAAAACAAGTCTTGCTTTCCTCGCTGAACACCGTGCCATATATGATCATCAAGAGCAACAAAATCTATAGCGCGGCAACTGTGCGGGTGGCTGTGGCCCTAGTAGTACCTCCGGCCCAAGGCAGTCATTCGCTCACTGAAAATTGTTAGTAATTAATTAATTAAATTAAATAATTAAGTGGCATCCGGATCACGGACCAAAATGTTAAGCACTTCTAAAGTTACTTACGAGTTGGCTGACCGATCCTGGAAAATTTGATTGATTAATTAATTAATGAATGGAGATCCGGATCACCACCAAATCTACATGAAGTTTAAGTTAGCCCATTTCTGACCTATCCTGAAATGTTTATGTACAATCCGTCCAAGAACTTGTTTAAGTTAGGCTGACACAAACAAACCAAACGCCACAAAACCACAAACCAACAAACACACGCGGTGAAACAAACCTCCTGCCAACCCCTTTATTATGTTATATAGGCCCCTTTGATATTTTTACTCCTGGAAGTAGAATGACACCTCTGCCGGATCGAAGGCGCCAAACACCCTTCGGTTAAGGTGACCTTTGACCTACGTTGGACCTCGGTTACGCGGCGTTGGTGCAGAGGTAGGGCTCGGCAAAAGGCGCGATGCGTCAGGACGACGTGAAGCGAGTCTCGTGCCTCGGCCGCGGATACGTGTCCGCCCCGCCCTCGTCGAATACCTGTCGCGCAACGCCAATTATCATGCTCACCGTAGGTAAGACCCTGTATTGATGCTTCTTTTTTTCTTCACGTGCGTGGTCTCGCTCTCTCTTCTTCGCTCACGCTCGTGCGCTCTCTCTCTCCGCTCGTTTCTCGGCGCGCTCGCTCTCTATCTCTCCTCGACTCTCTCTCGCGCACTCTTCTTTCTCTCTTTCTCATCTCTCTTCTTCTCTTCTCTCTCTCGCTCTCTCTCTCCGCTCTCAGCTCTCTCTAGCCTCTCGAGCTCTCTCTCTCTCTCTCGCTCGTTCTCTCGCTCTCTTTCTTTCTCTCGTCTCTTCTTTCCCTCGCTCGCTCCCTCCATCCTTCCTCCCTCATTCCCTCTCTGATACCCTTTCTTCCCCTACCTTTCCCTTTGTCTCTGTCCCCCTCCCTCTCTCTGTCGCCCTGGCCTATGCTCTCTCTCCCTCGCTTTTGCTCCCCCGCGCTCCCGCTCCATCTGTCACCCTCTTCCTCTCTCCTCTCGGCTCTTATTATCTTTGCTCTCTCTCTCTATTTGTCTCTCTCGCTCTTGCTCTTCTGTGTTACATTAGCAACTGACAGTGCAGAGTAGCGTGTATCTGCAGCGTCGTGTCTGTGAGCACTGAAGTCCAGCAGGATGGCGTCGAGGTTGCCGCGTGACGCGGCGTCGTCGACGTCGCCAACGACGATGAAGCTCTCAGTTCCCTCGTGCAGGACCACGATCTCGTCATCAGGTAAGTTCATGGTTCGCACAGTCCTTGAAAAGTCCTGAATTTGAGGGGAGTCTTGAAAAGTACTTAATTAGTAAATGTTGGATTTTGGCTTGAAAAGATGCGTGAAATTTCATGAAAATGGTCTGGAATTTGAGAAAGACATCCTTGCCTGTATAAAAGAGAAATTTTGTCCATTCCAAAATGTGGCAACCTCAGATAAAAAGTTGCCGTTAAATGAGTTAAAAGCTAAGACACGATAGACAGTTAAATGATGAGCACAATTACAGTAAGTCAGTAAAATCAGTCGAGTAAATCAAGGTATGTGTAGAAGGACAGTGTTTTAGAAGGGGTTATTAATGTGATTCAGGTAAGTTTAAAGGTGAACATGCAGATGATAAGATGCGGTTAGTAAATAAGCCAGGCTATGGTTTAGTTCGGTGTCGTGAATTCTGATAAAATGTCATGAGAAAATGTCCGTGAATTTCCATAAAAGGTTCTTGAAAAGTCTGTGCTGGAAAAGTCCTCGGTAAAAATTTCAGTCCTCCTGCTATGAACATGGGCGTAACGTACGCCGCGTCGCCCATGGCGATCTTAGCCACTAGCATCTCTAGCTACGAGAGGTCACGTGGAGGTCGCGCTCGTTTCGACAAACTCTTGTTGTGTTGCTTCTGCAGTGTTGGTATTGCGGTTGTTGTTGTGTTTGGTTGTTGGTGTTGATGCTGGTGTTTTGTTTGGTAATTGTTGGTTGTTGCTGTTGCCATTGCGGTAGTTGGCTGATGGCGGAAGGAGGTGAGAAGGAACAACAACTGGACCGTTGTTCCCTTTCATGCGAGTCAGGATCGCTGCTATTGATGTATAACGTAGAAGGTAGAATGTATAGGCGCGTTCCACACAGAAAAACGCCGATGCTAATCGCGATGAAATACCGAGATAATTGTGTCGTTGTGTCAACAACAGGCGAATATCGCGCTAATGCGCCGAGCGGCGATAATTCAGGTAATAGAACTGCGCCTATGCGCACTGTCGGCAATGATGCTCACTGCGCACATGCTCACTGCTCACTCGCTTGGAATGATGCGGATAGAAGATACCGGGAGGCTATTTGCGCGAGCGTTCACACACGCAAATATCGCGGCTAAATTCCAAGCGAGCGGGCACACACGCCAAATAATCGCGCTAATTCCAAATAATCGCAGTCAAAAGTGCGATTTGTGGAGCGCGATGCTGCATCGGCGATATTAGTGGGTATTATTGCGTTCACACTGTAATAATCTCGCGTATTGCGATCGCGATGCAAAACGGAGTGCAGCGGGCTAATTCGCGCCAGTGTGAACGCGCCCTAATAAAGTAGATGGTATAATGTATTATATAAGGGTATAATAAGGTCAGAAATGGGAAGGGTATATATAACTGTATAATAAAAGTAGAAGGTTATAATGTAGATAGAATATAATAAAGTAGAATGTATAATGTATATATAATGTATAATAAAGTAGAATGTATAATGTATATATAATGTATAATAAAGTAGAATGTATAATGTATATATAATGTATATAATAAAGTAAGAATTGATATAATGTATATATAATGTATAATAAAGTAGAAGGATATAACTGATGGTTATCGGTGCGTGTGCTTGCTTTCTTGCAGCCTGCTGCCGTACGACATGCACGGCCGCGTGGCGAAGCACTGCATCCGCCACCAGACGAACATGGTGACAAGCAGCTACGTGACGCCGGAGATGCGCGAGCTCGAGCAAGAGTGAGTGTACGGCAGAGGTTGCCAACCACTGCCCGATTTATCCGTAATTTTATACGAGATTTCTATCCTTTTGCACCACTACGACCAGTTTGGTATCAAAATCTACGAATTTCAGCTGCATCGAAAATTTTTTGTTGGGGTCATGATTGTTCTTTTTTGTCAGATTTACGTCATGTGGTGAACTATAGCCGAATGCCAGGAAATGGGCAATTCAGATTCAAAAAAGTTTTCGGGTCCCCCTGCTCGAGCCAAGAGTGAGTGTACGTGGATGGCGCCGAGCCGAGCAAGAGTGAGTGTACGCTGATGGTTTGCGCCGCGGCCGCTCCTGCCACGACAGCTGTTTGGCCACAGTCTACACCCGTTAGGCCAAAACTTAAATATATGTGTGGTTACGGTTACATGCCGAAAAAAAACTTAGGGTAGGTAGGGGAAAAACATTTTATTTCTTGAAAGAATTTTATTTACGAACGCCAGGCCGAGATTGCGTTCGTGCCTTTGAAGCAGGAAGGTCAATTCAGTTATTTTTTATTTTTTAATTGTTTTAAAGATTTTTTTTTTACTGTAAAAGAAATGCAATAAAAAAAAATAAGTGTAGGCGCTGGGAGGGAATAAAGAGGGTCGGTCGCGAAACCGCTACCACACTATATTGTTTTGCGGCTTACGATCCACGATGCCCCACCCAAAACCCACGGCTTGCCTCAGAAACACATCCCCCCCGAGTAGCATCACACCCTTGACGCCTCCCACTCAGCAGGGCGCCCCGTTCACTGAATTGTAAAAGGGCGGTGGAATTTCTACGGGGTGAAAATGCTGACGGTGTGGCTAAAATTCGATGCTGACGGCTGTCGAACCCTGTTCCAGGCGCGCGCGCCCCGCGCATCGAACGAGCGCGTCAACGACGGGGGCGACGGACGACCCTGGATCGGACCACCTGCTCGCGATGGAGTGCCATCGAGTCGGTACAAGGCAGCAGGCAGTACGGTGAAGTCGTTCATCTCGTACTGCGGCGGTCGAACTTGCCTGCCGCCAGAGAACTCGAGAAATCCCTGCGATACAAGTTCAGGGTAAAACCCAGGCCGTTGGGCCCGTCCGCTACCAGCGTAAAAAAAGAAGTTCTTATACAGTTATTTCTCAGTGTCAATAGCTTTAAATTGTATGTAAAATCATAATTATTAGGCAATTAGTTAGCTTAAAAATGTACTGGCACTGTGGGGTGGGCAGATTGCCAATTTTTGGCTGAGCATCCTCTCTCAGCGCCGCTCGACGCACATGCTGTGTCTTTTGTTTTGCCATCGCAGCTGGCAGTCCACTGGGCGTGTTCAGGGACAATGCTCACAGCGGAGCGAGCATACCGGCTCAACGGAAAGGTAGGGCCCTCAGAACTGCGGATGCCGGCTTCACTGGAATGTTTCTTCACTGTGTTTTGCCTTGGTGTATGTATGTAGCTACGTATCACTGTAGTATAGCTCTATTATTGCGTATTTAAGTAAGTAAATTTTATGTTCCTTAAACAGGGATGTGACTCCTATATATTGATGGGACTCTTGTATCTGTATGCCTGTATAAGAATAAGTAGTATGTATTCACTCGATAAGCAGATAAGATGTCCACTCCAGCGATGATAAACCTTTCACTACGTCATATCTTTTGACTGTGAGTCGCTCCACCTGGGCATGGTCCTACACCAATGCGTTCAATTCATTCCCTTATCATCATCTAACTCCGCCACATCTGCCTTCGCGCGGTTCAGGTCGTCGACGTGCAGAAGGGCGCTGTGCTGACGCGCGCAGAACATCGACTTCCTGCCCGGATTCAACCTCGGAGCGATGCCGAACGCACCTCGCAAGGACGCGTCGCCGGACGGAATCGAGACAGCGCGCACCACGATCATCCGCCGCACCCTGCCGCTACAGGCGTGAGTCCCTCACGGCGACCCAGCGAGCTCGCGGCGAGGCAAGAGCGTGGCAGAGAGGCGCCAATCTATAGAGAGATAGACAGACACACAGAACAGACAGGCGCAAACAGACACTCAGACAGACCAGACAGACAGACACATAGGCAGACAGACAGACAGACACATAGACAGACAGACGGACAGACAGACAGACAGACAGACAAACAGACACATAGACAGACAGCCGGGCAGACAGACAGACAGACAGACAGACACATAGACAGACAGCCGGGCAGACAGACAGACAGACAGACAGACACATAGACGAACAGCTGGGCAGACAGACAGACAGAGCAGATAAGATCGCAACATGGTTTCATGCTGCATGTGTTATCTCTCTCTCTCTGTCTCTCGCGCTCTCGCTCTCTCGCTCTCTCTCTCTATATACTATAGGATATATATAGAAGAAGATCCATCCTCACGCATCGTGTTGGGGTGCAGGGCTCTGCGAAGCCTCAAGGCGTCTTCTCAGGTCGGCCTCATCAACGACGTACCGCGCCGAACCGGCATCCGATCGGGGACCGGCAGATCACGGGGTGAGTGAGGACAGCGCGTAGCGTGGGGGACGTAGACAGCCTATAGCGGTGAGTGAGTGAGTGAGCTCTGTAGCAGCGAGTGAGTGAGTGAGACAGCGCTACATAGCGTGAGCGTGAGTGAGTAGCTCTATAGCGTGAGGTGAGTGAGGACAGCTCTATAGCGTGGGGGAGTGAGACAGCTCTGATAGCGTGGTGAAGTGAGTGAGCTCTGTAGCAGTGAGATGGAGGGAGACGCTCTGTTAGCAGCGGTGAGTGAGGTGAGCTCTGGGTAGCAGGTGGGTGAGTGACTGAGCTCTATAGCGGGGTCGTGAGTGAGACAGCTCCTATAGCCGTGGTGAGTGTGAGACAGCTCGATAGAGGCGGGAGTGAGACAGCTCGATAGCGTGGTGAGGGAGTGAGACGCTCTATAGCGTGGGTGGAAGTGAGACAGCTCTAAGCGCTGAGTGAGTGAGACAGCTCTATGCGACCCATCGGTGCGGGGAGTGAGACAGTCGAGAGCGTGGACGCCACGAGGCTGAGTGAGTGAGTGAGCTCTGTAGCAGAGTGAGTGAGGAGCTCGATAGCGTGAGTGAGCGAGGACAGCTCTATAGGTGGGGAGTGAGGACAGCTCTATAGCGTGCGCCGTGAGCGTGAGTGGACAGCTCTATAGTTGTGGGTGAAGTGAGACAGCGCTATAGCGGGGCGTGAGTGAGTGAGACAAGCACGTATAGGCGGGTGATGTGGCACGTTGAGACAGCGTTACAGCGTGGAGTGAGTGAGGAACAGCTCTATAGCATGGGTGAGAGTGAGACAGCTCTATAGCATGGGTGGAGTGAGTGAGACAGCTCTTATCGGTGGTGGAGGAGACAGCGCTAGATAGCACAGTGGGTGAGCTGAGGACAGCTCGTATAGCGATGGTGAGTGAGTGAGACAGCTCGTATGGTGGGGTGAGTGAGACAGGCTCTATAGCGTGGGTGGAGGAGACAGCTCTAAGAGCGTGGGGAGTGGACAGCCTCGATAGCGATGGGTGAGTGGACAGCCGATAGCATGGGGTGAGTGAGACAGCTCATATGCAGTGGTGAGGACTCAGCTCGTTTCAGCCATGGGCGTGGGATCGATCACGCGGTTCGTGGCTGGGAGGCGTTCACGTCGCCGACCACCTGCCAGCGTTCCCACCGGCGAATCCTGTCTACCACATTACACTACTGCTGAGACCTAGAGGGCCTCGAGGCTTTCAAACACCGGTGCGCCGGTCCGCAAATTTTTTCCCCGACTTGAGTCCGCGACCACAGGCCAATAAGAGCGCACTCCATTCACTCGACTGTCCGCGAAGCAACAATGGCTAAAATGATACCACCTATCACGAACGCTAACCCTAACCGACCTAACGTACCCATACCCGAACCTAACACCTAACGGATATCCAACCATATATATACGAACAGAAGAGTACAAAACACTATCTATGGGTGCGGGTCCGGAACGCAAGTGGAGAAAACAAATTTGCGCCGCCCCGGCCCTGTGTTCTGCAACGGCTACGGCGAATGTAGTGTGGTGACCGAGATGAGGAAGAAGCGGAGGAGTGGCTGTGGTAAAACTGTGAATCGTTTTAGTAGGCTGGATCTAGGATGCAGCTGGGAAAAACGGAAGCTGTGGAGCGAAAGGGGCGACGGGTTCCGTCAGTTCTCACACCATTCTATCGGTCAATTGCTCCGGCGTTCTCATGCCTTCTCCCGTCATCAGTTGTTCGTTGTTGATAATGGCCGTCGGCCGGCGTCAGTTCGTTCGGTTGTTTACTCACGCCGGTCGGCCGCTGGTCCACAGAAAGAGTTCAGGTGCGACGCGCTTGACCAGCCACTGACATGAGGTTGGACCATTGCTCAAGGACGCCAGTTGGTCGACAACGTCAAGCAGGACAACAGTCACTCCACGCGATCGCCAACGTGAGCAGTCACCGCCGCTCGCCACGAACTCGATGGGATTTTTGAATGGCATTGATGCTAACAGAATTACCACAGTTGTTGCAAAGTGCAATTGAAGTTAATATACGCTTCCATGTCTCGAGTCGCGTAGACGTGTTATTTAAATCTACGAGTGTCTCACAGTGGCCATAGTGTCTTACAGTGTCGTCACAGTGTCGCACAGGTCGTACACTACGTTGCAGTAACTCATGGATGTCTCCAGTGCTCTCACAAGTGTCTCACAATGTCTTACACTGCGTGCAGGGACTACGGTTGTCTCACGCGGTCTTACACTGACGTGCAGGGACTCACGGCCACGAGTCGCACGCAGTCTTACACTGCGTGGCAGTGATCACGGTGTCTCACGCGTCTGACACTGGCGTGCGCAGATGACTCACAGGTGCTCACGCTGTCTTACACTGCGGCAGTGACTCATAGGTCTCACGGGTGTTCTTACACGGCGTGGCAGGGAACTCACGGTGTCTCGACAGGGTCTCGTACACTGGTGGGCAGCTAACTCACGGGGTCTCACCAAGAGTTCGTACACTGCATTGCAGTGACTCACGGTGTCTCACGCTGTTTTACACTGCGTCGCAGTGACTTAACGGGTCCTCACGGTCGCTCTCACGGTGTCTTACACTGCGTGGCAGGACGCACGGTGTCTACAGGGTCTGTACACTGTGTCGCAGTGACTCACGGTGTCTCACGGTGTCTCACGCTGTCTTACACTGCGTCGCAGTAACTCATGGTGTCTAACGGTGTCTGACAGTATTTCACCATGTCTCACGGTGTCTCACAATGTCTCACACCATCTCTTACTATCTCGTGGTGTCTCACACTGTCTCACGTGCCTCCCCCTCTCTCGCTCTCTCCTTCATCAGCCTGGGACTGCTGTCGGACGATGTGATCGAGAAGAAGAACACGCCGCTGGCGACCGTCTCGCACTACATGGCCAAGCGACTCGCTTACGGTGAGTATAGTCATCGCTCGCGGCTGCTCCACCCACGCGTCGCCCTCCTCGCTCACCCCGATAGCTTCCTCTTTCATAGCGGAAGGCCGAGCAGGAGGAACTGTCGTTGCTGTGGTTGCCGAGGCAACGCACCGATACCTATTTCCGTTGTGACACCGTCCGTATAAATGCGGCAAGATTGATACGAGAACAACGATGATGGTGACGATAAGAACAAATTTGACAGAGTAATATTTTAATAATAATTATTCTATGATAACATAATCATAATAATAAACGTTAATGTTACGTAATAAAATAGTAGCGCTGTAAAGGCTGCAGATGTTCTAGATTTGTCGCGTGTCTCGCTAACGAGCCCTCGCCCGCGCAGGTGCTAACGAGCGAGACATCATCGTTCTGCGGCACAACATCGCGGTGGAGCGGGCCGACAAGGAGACGGAGGTGCGCCACATCAACCTGGTCGTCTACGGCGACCCGCGCGGTTACTCCGCCATGGCCAAGTGCGTCGGCTATCCGACCGCCATCGCCTCCAAGATGCTGCTGGAAGGTATACGTGGGTGTCGCGCACGAGTTGGGGGTCGGTGCTGGCCCTGGGGCGTGGGTGGGGGTTGATTGGTGCTGGTGTCAGGAGGTCGGGTCTGTGTCGGCGTGGACGGGGACGGGGTCAGCAGAATTATTGTCGTGCGGAAAACGAAGGAGAAGAAGAAGGACGAAGAAGAAATTTGGCACGGCGCTTATAATTCCTTTATGGGATCACGATATCTACGGGACGACGTTGGACTCAGTGGCGTGCTGCGCTCTTGTTTTGCAGACGAGATCCAACATAAGGGCATAGTGATCCCTCTGATGCCGGAGATCTACCGGACGATGCTGAAGCGGCTGGCGTACGAGGGAATCGTCGCCACGGAAACGGTGTCCTACCCGGAGTACTCCCCGTGAGTTGTGCACGAGCGCGGTCGGCGGGGACGCCGGCGCCCCCTGTCCCCGCCGAGTCGCCGCATTGCATGCTCGCACGTTCCCTCGGCGACGACCGCGGCAGACGCCGCGAATAGATCGGCCGAGACGCCATTTTTGCGCGGCCACGGTGCTAGCGTCGTCCGTCTGGACGCGCGCACGTTCCCGGTTTTTTTTCCTCATCGTCATTCGTCGATTCTCGCTGTCGCTGTGTAAATGCTCTTCTTTTTGTTCTATTTTTCTACCTTTTTCCACTCGTGCTTCGACTCGACAAAGTCGAGTGACTTGTGTTTAAATAACAGTAACTTAGATTTAGGTGGCTTGCTGCTATATGCTAACTAGCTTGAGTTGTAATAGTAATAGTAGACATATATGAAAATATCTATGTATGTAAGTATATATATATATATATATATTATCAGAAGTAGATAATAGGTTCTAATAGATTATCTACTTCTGATATTATGTATGTATATATCAAAATATGCGTGCGTACATTATATACATTGATATCTTTACTATAGATATGTTCATCATAGCTCATCATAGTAGCAGTAGGAATAGGAATAGCAGTGTGACTAGACTCCTTTTATACTGTTAGACTATAAACGATGACATACATGACGATATAAGCGAAACAATATGACGTTTAGTGGCCACACCCTTCGTCTCCCTCTCTCAGTCTCTCCATCCTGCATGCATTCACTGCGATTGTCAAGTCGTTAGTGGGTTCTACCATGCACGCACTTGAGTCCATGTCTCTCTCTCTCTCTCTCTCCCTTTCTCTCTCATTCTCTTTCTCCCTCTTTCTATTTTTCTCCCTTTCACTATCTCTCACTCTCTCTGTCTCTCTCTCTCTCTCTCTTACTCTTTCTCTCTGTGTGTCTCTCTCTCCTCTCTTCTCTCATTCTCTTTCTCCCTCTCTCTATTTTTCTCCCTTAGGCTCTCTCTCTCTCTCTCACTCTCTCTGTCTCTCTCTCTCTCTGTGTCTCTCTCTCTACCCCTCCTCTCTCATTCTCTTTCTCCCGCTCACTATTTTTCTCCCTTTCTCTCTCTCTCTCTCTCTCTCTTACTCTCTCTCTCGCTCTCACTCTCTCTCTCTCTCTCTCTCTCTCTCTCTTTCTCTCTCTCCCTTCCTCTCTCATTCTCTTTCGCCCTCTCTCTATTTTTCTCCCTTTTTCTCTCTCTCTCTCTCTGTCTCTCTTTCTCTCTCTTACTCTCTTTCTCTCTGTGTGTCTCTCTCTCCCCCTCCTCTCTCATTCTCTTTCTCCCTCTCACTATTTCTCTCTCTCTCTCTCTCTCTCTCTCTCTCTCTCTGTCTCCCTTTCGCTCTCTCTCTTTCTCCCTCTCTCACTCTCTCTTTCTCTGTGTCTCTCTCTCCCCCTCCTCTCTCTATTTTTCTCCCTTTCTCTCTCTCTCTCTCTCTCTCTCTCCACGTGCCGCTTGTTCACGAAGGTTTCACGTGCTTTGCAGGCTACACCACGGAACACCAAACAACATGTCCGCCCACTCCAACCTGTTCTACCAATCCGCGGCGTGATCTCTCCCGCGCCACCGCCGCGTATCGCTGCAGCGTCAAGAACAGAGGCTCCACCTGGAGGCGGCCGACCGCGGCTCGCGCTCCGTCTCCTCTCCCTTCGATCGTCTCCGCGCCGTGGCGCCATCTGTATCCCGTAGCGACAACCGCTTTGCGACGAGTCTTCCGTGTGAAATCTCGACGACTCTTTCGAGCGCGACTCTCTTGTCTTCGGACGAACTTTCCTCGTCTCTTCTGCACGCCGTCTCGCAAATTTTTCGGTGGCGAATCTTCCTTGTGCTTGTCGTCCGTGTCTGAAGACGGCCATTCCTCGTGCGTTCGGGTTGTGGGTTCGTCTCTATCTGCATGCATGTGCAACGAAGGTTGTTGTTCATATTCAGATCATACTCTCTAGATCTGTACCGTAATTCGGGGGCCCGTTGTCGGAAGTAGGAATTAACATTACTTTTAACGTTGAACTATTTTTTTTGATAGACTGCTGATTGAAACGGGAGTGAATGAAAACGAATTTGTTTTCATTGACCTCTGATAGAAATGCGGTAAAGTTACCAGTTTCTCACATAGCAGTACGTTGAAGTCCGGTCTGCGAGAGAGGATGTCAATGTTACGACTAACGTTAACGCTAGTTTTGTTTCCGACAATGGGCCGCTGTGCTTTGTGCATGCCTCTTGCTGTGGGCTACTAACCGACGTTCTCCCAGAGCCTGGATGCGAGTGTCTGTCCGTTGTGTGTGTGTCGATTGGTAGTAGGTCATTGCCGCTGCGAGGTCACGATAAGGTCATTGGGAGTGTCGGGGCGATGGGCCCGGGAGAGGCCCGTGTAGCATATTATGTACATACAGGTGTATCGAAGCCCGGCCGTTAACCTTCATTCGTCTGCTAATAATCATTCAAATAATGGTCTGTATACTAAATAATATTGGTGTAGTGTTTCTTTACTTAACAATATATACTGGTATGTATACACACATGTATTATATATGTGTGTGTGTATAGAGGGAAATATAATATCATGCTGTGTGGTGTGATTGTTAGCTGATGGTATGTATATAAATGCATACATAATATAATATATATATATATATATAAACAATACCAAATAACAGAAAGTGTTGGATAACAGCTAATAATCTAAGTGAATCTAGTGTACATTATGGAATTGATAGAAAATTAGACAGTGCACTCGTTGCAGATCGTACCACCAGGAGCAGGGCACCTATTACTGGCTAGCGGGTCCTTCTTCTATTTATCCTCGGTAATCATAATCTGCTGTGTAGCGATAATCGCACATTATTTCCGTGTAGATTTGAGCGCTCTTGATAAAATTAATAACGTCCTTGCATAAAATAATGAATGTCATTGATAAATAAATGTCTTTTGAAAATAATATCAGTCTTGATAAAATAAATACATTGTCTTGACTGAAAATAATCGTCTGAGAAATAACATCGTTCTTGATAAATAATAAATGATCTATGAATAAAATAAATAAATTGTCTATGATAAAATAAAATTGTCTTGGGGAGTAATACTCGCGCATTATTATTCACGTTCTGTTCTCGTCGAGTGAGAGGAAATTAGCTGGGCAATGTCACCCGCGTTAAATTAATAGGAATTATGTGGAAGTTCGGGTGGTGCCACTCGTGCCGATGTATTCACACTATCGGCAGCCAGTGTGTCAGGGATAGACTGGACAGACGCGTCGCAGCTGGTGTGTCAGAGAGATCATTACACGCCGTCGACAGAGGGGAGCCTAAGCTAGACGTCACCGTTTCACGGAGAACGCGATTTCTTGTACTACGAACTGTTTCTTAGGCGGTGTCTGCAGAGAGAAATGCTTATGCGTTGCCCGGGTCAGTAGTAGAGGGAAACCACGAACGCGTTGTTGCTTGTTTTTCGACCGCGACTCTTTCGCAGTGAGCGACGTGAGTCAAGATGGATCTTTGCAAAGTTGAGCAGCAGAGAAGAAAGAAAGTAAGAAAGAAAGAGAGAAGAAGAAGAGTTGACGCGGCGAGTGAAAAGTATATTTTTGACCGACTATTCCGGGGATGTTGGAAGCGCTGTACGTCACCCGCCCCGCAATGACGTGTTAGGGGCGACTTTCCACACACCCCTGTCTCCCAACGAACGATGTGCGTGATGCGAATAAGGCGCATATTCGTCACTGTATTGGAGCGAATCTATTCGGATATGCATCTTCTCTTATGTGGGAGGTGGGAGAGATTAACCAGCGATGCCTGAGCAACCGTCCGGGGGGGGGCGGAGTCGGTTGTAGCAGGATCGCGGGAAAATGTTTTGGTTGTTGTTTCTCGCCGAAAAGTTTCGAGGATCTACTTAAATATATTAATTAATTAAAGAAATGGTGTGTATCTTCATCTCGTGTTGGTTGGATCAACGCTCAGATTCCGGAGAATTCACTCCCAAGTAAGGTCGTGGATTTCAGACAAAATGCATTGAAACCACAGCAAACGCGTAAAGCCAGATGTGCACTGACTGCGAACCCATCGGACAATTGACATTGCCACCCTTACTGGGGAAAACAAGAATCTAACACCAGAGATGGATGCCATCATCAAACAGGCCCTCTCCAGATTCCTGTCTGAGTCCCTCCCAGTAATCTAGCCACAGACACTCCGTTGTTAACCAAAAAACCAATTACTATGAGGAAACACTGGTAGCTAACGATACAAAGAGGGTATACATTGTGACCATGACCTCGTGAAGCAGGCTGCAGGAGGATAAATGAATAACAACAACAACAATTACTGACTGGTATATGCAGCGGGTACCATACATGCAAGGTTTTTCCCACCATTTCTTAAGTGATGTCTAATGATAGAAATTTATCATATAAATCTATGCTAGGATAACTACTCTTCGGTTAAATGAATAATTTTAGCAAAATATTGTTCTTCTCGGGATATATTGCGCATGCGCCAGCACCGTTGAAGGAGTGCAGTACGGGCTGAAAACATACTGCATAATATAGCTTGCCGAGGGAGAGAGGGGTGGGAGACTGAGAAAAGGCGGCAGGGATGCTGAGCGAGAGACAAGGTAGGCAAGGGGGAGGATGGAAGGGGATGAAGTAGTAGTTTAGCACGCTACAGGCTAGGGTGCTCGTCCAATTATAAACACAGGTCCACTGAAAAGAATTTATAACAGAAATCTATGCTGAGATACCCCCTATTAAACCACATTAAATGCATATTCTTTACAAAATATAACTCCTCTATTGAGATATTGCGCATGCGCTAACACTAACGTAGCCAGATTGTGTACTGACTGGTATATGCAGCGGGTACCATACGTGCAAGGTTTTTCCCACCATTTCTTAAGTGATGTCTAATGATAGAGATTTATTATATAAATCTATGCTAGGATAACTCCTCTTCATAGCATAACTTTTGCAAAATATTAATTGTTATTCTCGTGAGATATTGCGCATGCGCGAGCAAGGTTGAAGGCGTACGCGTGCAGTACGGACTGAAAAAATACTGCATAATATATAGCTTGCCGAGGGAGAGAGGGGTGGGAGACTGAGGAAAGGCGGCAGGGAAGGTAGTTGAGGTGCGGTAGAAAAAGATGGATGCTGAGTGAGAGACAATTAAGGTAGGCAAGGGGGAGGATGGGAGGGGTGAAGTAGTAGTTTAGCACCCTACAGGCTAGGGCGCTCTCCCAATTATAAACACAGGTTTCCTGAAAAGAATTTATAACATAAATCTATGCTGAGATACCTCCTAACCACATTAAATGCATATTCTGTACAAAATATAACTCGATCCTCTGTTGAGATATTGCGCATGCGCTAACACTAACGTAGCCAGATTGTGTACTGACTGGTATATATGCAGTGGGTACCTTACATGCACGGGTTTTTCCCCATTTCTTAAGTGTGATTATTTCATAATTCTGATTAAATTTTATTATATATATCTTTGCTAGGATAACTCTTCTTCAGTTTAAATGCATAATTTTGGCAAATTACTGTTATTCTCGTGAGATATTGCGCATGCGCGAGCACCATTGAAAGCGTGCATTACAGACTAAAGAAGACTGCATTATGTAACTCGCTATGTTATGTTATGTTCTCGTACTTTGTGTGTGTGTGTGTGTAAACTCTGACTGGAATTGCGCTCAGCATGGGTCCGTCTACGTTCGTACCTTTCTGTATTCCTGCACAGGACTCGCGTCGGGAGAGGCTGGAGGTGCAGTGGACTCGAAGAGGACTAACTGCGCGTGGTGTCTGGGTCTGGTTTGCCTCTCGTCCAGACCCTTCGGGGAGGGCGAGGCAAAGCTTGTGCAGCAGGACCCGTCCCGATAGCGCTGGTTCACCGGAAAACACAAGCGGCAATCTCAGCCATCACACGCACAGTACGTGGTTTCTGCGTGCAGAGCGGTGGTGTGGCACCACCCAGGGTCGCTGCGAGATGAGACAGATGAGAGGATGAAGTGCTATAGTGATCGCCACATTGTGCCGTAGTGGAACACTAGATGGTGTCGCTCTTTCTCCATTACGCGTGACAGTGGGATATACTGGCCTTACTCAGATGGAAGATGTGTACAAGTATAGTGTAAGATATGTCTACGCTACAGGCACAATCGAGATTGGAGTAGACAGAATGATTGTATGGCGTGAGGGTGTCGATCGTGAGGATAACGCGATCCGCCGGTTGATTGTCAAACACTTCTTTAAGCTTCTATCACAGTCAACATCGCGTTCGAGATGTCGAGTGACAAGAGGTGTGGGAGGTATGAACGGGGGGATGTGCCCTGGGCGATGGTTTGGATTGTTGGGCCCGGCTACCACAGACCACACACCCTGGTGGGGGACTGCAGAGGCGGAGAACATCTTACAGCGTTTTACCTCTCTGTACAGTGTCAATCGCTTCGTGACGGTGTAACCGTGAACGCGTTGTACCCGCAAAAACTCGTACAGCGAGTCCATGCTCCCGCACATCTCGACGGCACCCCCAACACCTCGGACGGCTCCCCTCGTACCTCGACGGCCACCTCCCCCCTCCGACTCGATCGGCACCCCCACTGCTCGACTGGGCTGCCCCCTCGTTACCTCGGACAACGCCCCCCGGGGAGATGGGGGGCGGGGGGCGGGTAGCTGTCGCGCGGGTGGCGCGTTGGGGCGTCAGCGGGTGTCACACTTCACAACAACGCCCCCGGAGTCGGTCGCTCGACAGACCTGCCCCATGCGTCGTACGGCTCGACGCCTATTCGGTGCCCCCTTCGTCCTCTGACACAGTGCCCCGCATCCGTACCTTTCGACACGCCGCCCGTACCTCGACAGCGCCCCTCCCTCGTACCTGCGACAGGCCCCCTCCCTTCGTACCTGCGACACGCCGCCCTTCGAAGTCGATGCCGGTCGATGAGCGAGGTCACGTGACACTTGCGGCGTCGAGCGTCGTCAGCACGTGCGTTGGCCGTCTCCTATGCGGCGATGCGCAGGTGCTTCCCAGACCCGCGCGCCGCTCTCGGTGCTGACGTCGGCCCTCCAGATGCCTAGATTGTTTGGACGAGAGAGAGAGACGGATGAGGAGAGAGAGAGAGAGAGAGAGAGAGAGAGAGAGAGAGGAGAGGAGAGAGAGGAGACGAATGATGAGAGAAGAGAACGAAGAGAGAGAAGAGAGTAGAGAGAGTAGCAGAGAGAGAGAGAGAGAGAGAGAGAGGAGAGAGAGAGAGAGAGGAGAGAGAGAGAGAGAGAGGAGGAGGAGAGAGAGAGAGAGAGAGAGGATGAGAGAGGAAGAGAGAGAGGAGAGAGGAGAGGATGGCAGAAGGAGAGAGATGAGAGAGAGAAGCGAGAGAGAGAGAAGAGAGAGAGAGAGGAGGGAGAAGGAGCAGAGCAGAGGAAGAGAGAGAATGGAGAGGAAGAGAGAGGAGATATGAGAGAGGAGAGTAGAGAGTAGAGAAGAGAGAGAGAGAGAAGAGGGGGGAGAGAGAGGAGAGAGAGAGCAGAAGAGCAGAGAGGAGGAGCAGATGGAGAGAGGACGAATGATGAGGCAGAGAGAGACGAGAGAGAA